GGCACACTGCTGGTTTGTGTTCAGCTTTTTGCCTCGCAGGCTCCCCAGGTCATTCTCAGCAGTGTTGCTCCCCAGCCAGTCAGCCCGGTCTGTATCACTGGAAAATCAAAATTATAGAGCAATGTAGGTCAGACCTCTGGAGGTCATCTAGTCCAACTCTCTTTCTCAAAAGCAGGCCTAAACCTTAAGGTTAGATGAAATGGAATCCATCATCTAAACCTGAAACCCACAAAGGACATACACAAAACAATCCACAGGAAGTTTTAAATTATATTTCTAAAGAATCTTTAAAACACTCTTATTATTATTTTCGAAGTATATCATAACCGATAAAAGCTGGTACTTTAAAAAGGTAGAGATGACAGGAACTGCAAAACTAATGGAAGCACTCAAAAATAATAATTCAATAATGGAAAGGACAAGGAAAGTGAAAGATTTTAGTGTAATATGCATTAGAAAGAATATCAGATCCAGGCTCACTTCTGCTGCATTGGGAAGCAAATACAAATTTAAGACAGCTTTTGAACGACCATGAAATTAATGAAAATCTTCAGGGCAGATAAAAATGGTGGCCTGGAAGTGACCACAGCAACAATGATCATCCAGACTCCTCTCCCAGGCTCAGTCTATTTTCATATTGAAACTGCTCATGCCTCTCAAAGCTCTGAAAAGACTGTCCAACTCAGTGCAGCAGACTACTCCAACAGAAGCAGGCTAGGAGACAGGCAGGAGATGCAGGATGAGCAGCCGCTTCCTCCACAGCAGAACTTGGTAGTGGGATCTCTGCAAAGCACAGAAATTGAGTGTATGTGCCACTAACCTCCACATGCTCACCTCCTATCTCTGTCTTGACGGAGGCTCTGGTGAGGGCCTGCCCCATTCACTAGCTTGCTCATCTGCTTGCAGCTTTTTGTCTCCCTAATAGAGACACAGAAGGTACCCATTAATCCTTCCTTTTGTCCCGCAAGCTACCTGACATGTGTCCCTGGGAAAATCTCAGCTCTGCTCACATACTTGGGGTGGCAGACAGCACGGTCCAGTGCACTGCCAGACACATGTTCATGATTACATCAGGCGACAAAGGAAAAGATGGGAAGTGGGGAATGTGGAAAAGGGAGAGAATAGCTTGGAAGAAGAAAGGGAAAAATCAAAGGGCAGCTCTGGTACCATCCCTCTGGAACCTTAGTTCTGTCTCAGTGAGAAAACCACATCGTCCTCACTGGGGTTCTGCACATCTTATGCTGCTGACGACTCCAATCATATCCTCAGAACCAAGCATCCCAGGGCTGGCAGGAAGAGCAGCATTTCACCCACCCTGCCTGGTAAAGGCAGTCACACACCACTCTGACTGGGGAAGCAAACAGCAGAATCATGAAAAACAGTGAAAGCCTCCCAAAGCTGTCACTGAGTATAACCTGCATAAAACCACCCACGCACACAAAAATCTTCACTACATCTGCCCAGATCCAGCTGAAGTGATGAATCCCACATGAAGTAAGTTAATAAAAGTTATGCAGACTTTCCTCCGTTACTGTCACTGGAGTTAACTGTTTGGAACTGTAATGGGACAAGGATGCCCAGGTACTCTGCTTGCTTGTCAAGGTTACAGTTGCTGAGCTTGATGAACTTCTGCACCTGGTGGCTCCATCTGGTCATAACTCATTGAAAGCAGTCGTCTAGCAAGGCTGCGGCCACACACTGTGACTGTGAGTAACAATCCACATGACAAACCAAGGAACAACACAACTGTATTGTGCAGTCAACCAGTCAAGTGCTCCTGAAAACAATATATTGTAAGAATTCCTGGTTCTGGATTCAGAGATCTCTGCCTGAAGATCAAGCTCAGGGACACTCGAAGAAAAACCTGAGCCTCACCAACTCCCGAGAAGACCCTCAAAGGCTGGGTGGCCGTGGATTACCATTCATGTTGTGGACAAGGACAGCACAACAACCGCAGGCTGTGATCCAACAACCTCAACACGTAACATCTGATATCCTGATCAGAGATGCATCTGTTGTCACACTGACCTACCTCATCACACTAAGACATTTATAAGCTATTTATAGTTTGCATTTTGGCTCCTTTAATTCATATTTAAAACCAAGAAAGTTCCTCATAAGAAACCACCTGTTTAAATTGAGACCATTGTAAACTGCTTCACCCACAAAACCTTGAAAAGTTTAGATAGCTCAAGACAATCCCATCCTTCATAAACAAAATCCAGTAAACAATGGAACACATCTTGTAAAGATAGGATATTTAATATATCAAGTGCAAAGAATAAAATAGTGTAGGACATGGTTTGCTCAGAACAAGGACAGCAGAAATTTGTATTTAATTTTTCAAAGGTATTTTAAATATGTATTGCAAAACACTTCAGCTTCTTAAGGCAGAAACTAAAAATGCATTATCACAAAAGCAAACCTACATCTTAGGATCTTAATAAAACAAGACCGTTATAACTTATCTAGCTCTCTGCTAATTCAAAGACTCATTAAATAAAATAAAAGATATTACGCATTTCCTGTGCTTGTAGGGAACTTCAAAAACACAAGTCTTTTTCCATTCTCATGGAGAACTGGAGTTGCATTTCCCTCAGCAGCAAGTACAAAAGGCACTTACAAGTGGTCTGTAGTACAGCACCATAAGATCTGCTAGTGAACATCTAGGGCTACCACTAGAAACATAATTTACCATTTAAGTTTGGGATTTCCTATCATAAGTAGGCTTTTTTACCACCCAGCTTGTGTTTTTTCAGCAACCTAAACTTAAGATAAACACCTGATTTACTTTCCTATGTAAAGCAAATTAAGTCTTTCAGTTGTTAAAAAGGAAAAAAACCTCCACTTACCAATCTACTTTTTTTTTTTGATCTTGCATCCAGCCTACTTAGGTAATACTGTAGTGTGGAAAGACATTACATAGGAATCTGAATCTTACAACAGAAAACTGCGACTGAGTTTTAGAAACTACTTAAGTTACTTATAGTAACAAGAACAGAAATATTTATATATTATCATTGGTACTGAGTATTTCTGGTTACTAGAGTATTTTTAAAATTCAGACCTAATGTAGAATACTGGCTCTGCAAAGAAGCTGTAAAGGGACAAATACACAGATTTTTCCCTATGAAAAAGCAATGCAGCTGTTTGTTGCCTTTTAAGTATCTTCTGTTTCACAATTCATTCTCCACTAAAAACAAATGAAAGATAACCTCTACCACACAAAAGATCTGAGAATACTTATGTATCTGCTACCACCTACTGACAAACAGCATTATTGGCTTTATCCTAGTCAACCTTAAAGAAGCAACTCCTATCTCCCTATAAAAGTTTCCACTGCTGCTACATTTGCTGACAGTAAAATCTACATTGATCTTTTAAGAGTACCCTGTAGCCACAATAAGACAATAATTTCCTATCCACCCAGCTTGTCCCCATCACAGATTGACTGACCAGCACATTCTGCTCCTAAAGCAGCTATTGTATCCTTCATTCAGCAAAGCCCTTCAGCTATCGCAAACAGTTACTATAGTCGATTACTGAGCAATTACAAGAAACTGACTCCTTATTAACAAAAATCCCAAAACATTTTATTTGTCACATTGCTAGTTAGACATTTCAAATGATAAGTCAGTTTCTTCCAGTCTTATTTCCCAATCTACTGTGTGGAATCAAAACATCTTTTTTTTTTTCCCACCAGTCTTAAAATTAGGAGCAAAATGGTAGTAGAAATGATCACTTTTGCATCATCTTACTTAATTTTGAAATGCTTTAAGTAAAATCCTCGACTGGCCTCCAGATGCTATTGTTGTTGAGAAAATGGCTAGCAAAAACCTAAAGTAAAACAGTGAAACACATCCTTATTTTCAGGTACCTCATCCTAAATTGCAGAAGTGACTAGTTCACACCGACGACCTGTATTTGGCTATATGGTAGACTAAACATCTACAGAAAGTATTACAAAATGTTGTTTTACAAAGAAGTATTTGTAATATTTACTTATACATGCACTTCAAAACATTCTGAAAAAAACCCCAAGGCTTCACATCTGATTAGTCAAACTGTCAGAAAAAAATAATTTCATGAAGGCAGAATGTGGAGCAATATATGACAGTATGTTTTGTTTGATAAAGCTCATCCTATTAAGATTCATGAAATCTCCTGACTTGATAGAAATCCGAGTTTGAAAACTCTCTTTAAGTGATAGGTCTTTAAGAGTGGTTGGTTGTTCCAGATCAATGTGCATTGAGGAAAAGGAATTATAAATGAGAGGTTTAACATTTAAAATGTCTCATTCACTTACCATTGTAGAGTAATTAATTATTTATACATTTTTTTCACATGGATTAAAAAAAAACTTTTTTTTCACTTGACCTAAGTTCCTGCCTGGAGTGCTCAATGGGGATTTTCTGTGAGAAATTTCCAGCTGGGATTAAAAGTCCCTTTTTCCTTCACTTCCATCCCTAGAGCAGCTGAAGCCAGCCACTGACTGTTACTGAGAGAAGATCAAAGAGCCAACACCAATGTTGGGCTGTCAATCCAGAGCACCCCAAACACCTTGCCACCAGCCTGATGCCAATGAGCAGATCATGAAAAAAAAAAAAAAAATAAATAAAAATTCTCCCGTGAGCTTCCTAACTTCACTATTAAATGCTAAAACCACAATTAGAGCTTCCTACCCCTTTTCTGAAACGCCAGGGTTATTTTTGAGGAATGCAATTTCAGTCCCAGAATCAGGAGAGATGGTTCTGACTTGGTGCTACCCTCAGGAGAGACCCCTGGGGTGTGGAGAGCCACCTTTGCTGGTTCTCCAAAACACGGGCCAGCCACCATCCTCTCCCCCTCCGATGGGATGAGGGCGGCCCTGGAAACACCAGCCGTGACACACGAGCTGCCCCCCCCCCTCTCCATTGCCTCAGAGGTAAAGCCGAAGCTCTTCCCGCCGCCCAACGCCTCCCGCCTCACCGCCGCAGGGCAGGGACCCGGCGGCCGTTGGGCGTCTTCTCGCGAGACTTCGACGGCCGCCTGACGGGGCGCTGCCGCAATCATGGAGAAGCCCTTAAGCAGCCCGCCGGGGCTGTCCGCCATCCTGGCGGTAAGGAGGGAGCTGGGGCCGGGCTGGCCGTTCCCCCGGGGAGGAGGCAGCGGTCCCCGCGGGGAGCGGCTAGGGTGCTCGCTTCTTCCCCAGCGTGGCACGGGGCGGGCTGTTTGAGCGCGGTTCGTGACAGAAACCGGTTGTCGTTTCTGTGCGGGGGGGAAGGGAGGCTGTTCGCCGGGTGACACTCCTTCGCCTGCCGTAGCTAACCTGCTTTTATTTCGATCGTAGAGGACGGACTGGTCCGAGCCCTGGCTGGTGGGGCTGGCGGTTTTCCACGTCCTCTGCTTCCTCCTAACCTGCATCTCTTTCCAGCACTACCGGGTGCAAATCGGGCACTTCCTCTGCATGGGTAAGTAGGATATTCCTGCTTCCGTGAACTGGCACTCGGGCGATACTGCTGAAGCTGTTAATACTGTCATATAGCTCCTTTTGTTTTCATAATGGTAACCGTTTTCTTCATGTACTTGCACAGCGCACTTTGCAGCAGATACAGCGCATGCAAATTAGTATTGTAGTAATAATGCGTGTGTCTATACGTGGGAAACTGTTACAGAAACAGCTCTGACCAATAAGTATGTATTTATTTAGTTTCTAAGACTGTAGGAAGTAGTGACTTAAAACTCTGTTCTTAGCGAGGATCTGGGATAAGTACGGTTTCTGCATGGTAAATGCTGTGTGTGTCACAGCTCCCCAAGAAACAGTTTCCCTGCTGGAGAAGCAGACAAGAAATCGACTGAGAGACAGCAGTTGCTTTCTACTCTGTCTTGTCATAATACTGCAGTTCAGTGAATACAGTCAGCTTTCAGCTGGATTCATTCCTGAAGCAGCTTCACCATATGCCCCACTGACAGCTGTGGTAATGGCATGAGGAAGAGCAGGGCTGCTTTGGTACATTGCAGTAACAGTGTGTCTTATCTCAGGATTAATTAGACTTCAGGCTGAGAATCCACAGTGGCCTTGCCTAGCCAAAGCTGTGTCTTTACAGCTGACTGGCAGAAGATCTAGTAGCTTTGTGGAAGGTGTTTGGTTTAACTAAGATGTCATGGATTTGAGTTAGATCCCTGTATTATGAGCAGTAATTTGGTTCAAGCCATGGGTTGGCTCTTCTGGTGAGTTGGGTTTTTTTTACACAGCACCTCAGTTCTGTCATGCTTGCAGGGTAGTGGAGAAAGTAAGCAACTGAAAGAGATTCACAGGCAAAAAGCCACTTGAAGACTAGGTTGACTTTTTAAAACACCATTTAGTGAGCTTGTCAAGTTGGGAAAGGAATTACAGCTTCATCAAAACTGCAAATAACTTAACTCAGCTAAACCTAAGGTTTCAATAACATTAAGTACCCCCAAAAAGAAATCTAGAAACCTTAGTAATTTGTATACTTCAATTTTTAACTTCAGAGTTTAAAATGATCTACAGAAGGCAAAATAACAATACACTTTATGACACATTAGGCCTGAAAGTTCCCTGTAAGAATACAGGCTTTGTTTTCTTCGATTTAATATTAAACATTCAGAATTTCCAATGACACAATGTTTACTTTAGACTCTGTCAAAAGTATTCCCAGAGTTACTAATGCTAATTCGAATGCCCAAGGTTTAACTGCACTGGTAAACGCAGTGAAACTGATCATTGCTGGCTTTTTAACTCAGATACAATGTAAACTTGTGGTTAACATATGAGTGAATAAAAATATCCATATTGAGTCCAAGCTTTGTTTGTACCTGAAAAACTGAACCATTTTTGAGAGGTCTGCAATATAAATAACTTTGTATTGTAGACAATCAGAAATAACTGAGGAAATTATAAAATTATCACATTGGTTTACCTTGGCAACTGAGCAGCTATAGCTACATTTATACTGTGCATCACCAAGCAAAGGTAATCCAGATGATGGCAAAACAAAATAGCACTCTTTCTTATCACTAGACTAGTTATTTAATTGCCTTGTGCGGGTCAGCTTTAACTACTGAATCTGCATTTTTTCCTTTGTTTCTTGTGGAAAATGATACAAGGACAAATTTAAAATTTTGTAGTTGTATTGCTTTTCTGTTAAACTTGTGAATTTTCTTACTATCTTAAGGGTTTCATATTGCATGTAATTGTTGAGTAAGAATATGCTAGTTTTCACCTGATTGCAGCGGACTACTCTACTATACACCTTTTCAAACAAAGTTTGTATTTTACCAATTTATATATAATTGGTACCCTGACTTCAGATAGCAATGTCTTATTTATCAGTGTGACACCATAACATCTAAAACGATAACTCCATATCAGTTTTGGGGAGTGTCAGCATTTCTTTTTACAGACATAGCTTAGAAGCAGTCACCAAGAAGATTGTTGGAAAAAATACTATTTGGTGGCTTTTGATTTGTTTTGGGTTTTTATAATTGTGTGCTGAGTTCTTTCTGTAAGATCAGATGAGTAGGATTTTGTTTGTAATATAGTGGGTATGTTTTGTGATCACTTTACACTTCGTATATGGGGCATTTATATTATATATGGGACTTCTATATGGGACATTTAAATTTGGATTGGTTTTGTGCAGTTAAATATTAAATGTGTAATTTGATCTTCTGAGGTTTGAGGAATTCTACTGTCTGGTATGTATAAATCTTTAGTATACATCACAGAACTGATGGCAGTTTATTTTTAAATAAATATTTAAAATGAATCTAATATTTTTCTTTTGTTGTACAGTGGGCTTAGTGTACTGCGCTGAATATATAAATGAATTAGCAGCCATGAATTGGAGGTAAATGTTTTCATTTTCATTTTTGCATTTAAATGAATGTTGTTCTAATTTTTTTTTTTTTGTATCATTCCTAGAAAACATCAATTTAAAGAGAGTCACTCATGCCTCATCAGTAGAATGTTATGGCAGAGAGTCTGTTGCATTGATTAATACCAAACTTTTGAACAAAACCATACAGTACAACATAGTTATCACTTATCTTATAAGAAAAGATAATTTTTCATAGCTACCATGTATTTATTGTGCTGCTTAAAACCTATGTTTATATGGGTGGTTGTAAACTAACTAGTCAGAGAACTAAGAGAAAAGCAGAGTGTGATGGTTAAGGGGAAAAGAATGTGAACTTTGATTATTTTTTTTGTTTTGTTGGATCTTCTTTGATAGCTATTTATGTTTAATAAGCCAAAGTTAAGCACTACTTCTCAAAAATATCACTACTATTTTATACTTACTTACATGCATAAAAGGATTAACATTTGTTTGTTTTACTGAGCCGGTGTACTTGAACTAAACTGATGGCTTATTTTCATAAGCACTGAACTAATCTTTCCTTAATATAACTGGAAATTATGTGTTTAACACTACTTTATGCAGGCATCTAATTTTAAGTCTTTGTTTTACTTCAGGCATACACGACCTAATTACAGCTTTGCTACATTTATTATTTCTGTTATCTTTTCTAATATGAGTAAGCAAAATACCTAAGAAAGTCATTTCAGACACTTCAGGGTAAGCATGATTTCTGATGAACAAATATATGTACTATTGTAGTCACATTAGTAAGTTACATAATCTATGGTTGTTTTATTTAGGTTTTCCACAGTAAAACTTTAAAGAAAAGAAAGACTGGTATTGTAATAAACATTCGTAAGTGCTGAGATATTGTCTATCTCTTTGTTCTGACTTAATACAGTAGAATGCTGGCCTGTGCTTGGGGGTCCCAAGAAGTAGGATAATATGTACAGTGTCGATGTTGAATAGTTATCATGAAAGTCTAATGTTATGTGAACTACACTGAATAAAGCTTCCTCTTTTATTTCTTTCAGGCTGTTTTCTAAATACCAATACTTTGATTCAAGAGGAATGTTTATTTCACTTGTGTTTTCAGCACCACTGCTGGTGAATACTATTATAATTGTGGTATGTATGTGTTCATTTATATGGATGCTTGCAATAAATTGAGAAGTAAATGTATGTGAATTAGTTAAATTTAATAATTTACTTATTTTTCAGGTCACCTGGGTTTACAGAACTTTGAATGTAATGACTGAACTGAAGACACTACAGCAGAGAATGAAAACAGAAAAAGAGAAAAATAAGTGAAAGCATCTATTTTCCTTTTTTTTAATTGTAATAGTACTTGTCCAGGTAATCAGTCCTTCTGTATGTTTATCCAGAAACAGGAATGTTTCTGTGTCTGATGTCAAGAGGACTTTGCAATCTGTGGCCATGGATGATGAGGTGAAAGCAGGTATCTACAATACAGTCAAATTGGCTGTGAAATTGAGAAACACCCAGTATTAACAGGTCTTTGTGCCCTTCAGTGTAAGATAGTTTTCCACCATGAGCAAGGCTGTTAGTATTGAGGTGACACAAACTTCTAGTCTGTTTCCATTTGCCTATGTATTTTTTAACCATGTCTTAACTGTGTGTTTATCAAGTATCTAGTCTTCTGCTGCTTAAGCCAGTTGGCCCAGTGAGGGACTGTATTCAGAAAACCTCAGGAATCCATGCTTCTATGAAGCATTTCAATTCTTTATAAATCAAGTTTCATACTTCCTATGTGTATTGTGTGCCAGTATCATTTTATAAATAAAATTACCTACTGTATCTTAAATGGATTTAATTGTATTAAATATTAGATATTTTCTTACCTTTTTTCTTACAAAAATTCTCAGTTTAGTAAAATCTTGTACTTACATAAATTAATTCTCTGCGTTTTTTTCAATTTACATTTCATGATTTTACTGTTTCTAGATAAATGTATTTTCTTAAAACCGGATGAAATTTTGATAGTTTTTGCTTATCTGTAGAACAGAAAGGAAGGGGAGACACTTCATATGTTCTATGCAATTCTGTTCCTTTTTTATGTTTTACTTTTTTTTTAATAAATAACAGAAAATTCAAAATTAACTCTGATAAAAATGAAGAAGACTTCAGTTTTGCTCAGAGTAACCTGTTTTACTTAGATTAAGGAAATTGGGGGAGTGGAATGAACACAATGGAAGACTGTCCATACATATTTAGTAAAAGTTGTATCTGGAAGCAGTTAAAACTTTGTGTGGAAACCTAAGCTTCTGTCTAAAATAGATGTCACTTAAGACATAGGAAAGATGATTTACAAAGTGGAACTTAATGTGAAGAACATTTGGGTACCACAACACAGAATACTTGTGTTTTTAATCTAAGTGTGAAATTAATTTTAAATACTTGAATAGTCTTCACAACAGTGGAAATACGGACCCAAGGGAGGTAAGCAGATGTATGCACATACACAATTTGCAAGTCTCCTAGGTAGGGAGAGAGTGAAACTCTCCCTGGAGGGCTTCACAGCATTGTGGAAGGGCAGTGCAGTGTTAGTCTGGGATCCATTTCTTTACTTTTTCCATGGATTAATTTAGGATGGCTCTCGTCACTCATTGCTCCACCAACAGTTACAGACAGGCTATTTTATATTCACAAACTAAATAGATGTGGGCTGACTCTGTTGTCCCATAATTGTCCATTCTGTTCCAACTCCTGACACAGTGTTGGGTAGTGTCAACTGTCACTTCACCATGAAAACATCTGTGGTGATCTGAGAGATAGTACATGCCTTTTGTGAACAGTCCCTGTTTTGAGGGAGTGAATAGAGGCTGCAGGATAGGCTGTAGCTCCTGTCTCCAGGACCAAGGAATGGGGCTTCTCATTTTGTATAGATAGATGTAATTCTCCCAGGTTGGTTTAGAAACGTTCAGCTTTGCTCTTAGATTTGATGGGGAGAGGTATGCGATTATTTTTATACATGGTCTTAAGCACGACCACACAAATGTGCACCTGACTTTCCTCTTGTGAACTGTTCTGCAACAATATCAATGCACAATTTGTATCACACACTTAAAGCTGTAGTGCCTCATATGAAGATACCACCTGTTAGCAATAGCTGTTGGCTTCACGGTAAATGAGGTGGTTCCGAACAGCTAAGCAGCAAGTCTCCTGCAGTAGAAAACCATGTGCCTTATTTAGTACATCCAAGGTAAGTTTTCCCCATATAGTTCAGTATTTTGTCTTTCTTGTGTGTGAGGTTGGAAAAAATGAAAATTTCCTCTTCTGTAAGTATATGAAACTGGTGAGATACAGCAATTAGAACTGCCCTTTCTAGCATAACATAGACAAGATAACAGAAATTCCTTTTTCTGTATTGCCCAATTTTGTGTTAGTCTTGCTTGGCATGAGATTTATTAGAGAAATTCTCTTTACCTTTGGGGATCCTGAGTGAAATGAAGAAATTTTGTGCCTGCCTAAATTCTCCTTCCTCTTCCTCTCATTGTAGTTGATCTTTCGGGCAGTATTTAATTTTGTGTTGAGTCACCAGAGTAATTTTGCCTTTTAATATAAGATGCCAGGGCATGACATCCCTTTAACAAAGTTGAAGGATGAAGAACCCTGGAGTGTGAGTGGTGGGCACTTTAATTAGCAAGTAAAAATCCATTCGAGCTGTATACTGTCCTGATTTCTGATACCACTGATGTAATGTGATAGCTAGGAGGTGGATAATATGTGGTTTAGAAAGTATCAATATGATGAGGGGGGTTTTGTCTTCTAAAAGTATTGCTGAGTGAAGGTATAAACAGCTTCAAATTCCAAAATGATATCAATATTCTTTTGAAAGATGAACATCTCAAAACGTATACTTCAGAATTGTGAGCTTGGTGGTTTTAAACCTTCACGGACTATAGAAAATATAGTAAGTAAATGTAACAGTTATATGAGATAAATTTTCACAAACACAAAAATGGGGTTTCCATCCATGTGTTTGTCAGAAAAATATTCCTATTTTCTACATTTAAGAAAGACTCAAACTTTTATCTTGAGTTGTTGTCCTCTAGCTAACCTTGCCTAAGAAACACTAAGTTTTTAAAAAAAAAAAAAAAAAAGTAGGTGTCTTTAACCATAAAAGAAGCCCACAGAATTAAGTAAATTGTGACTTTTCTTCATTATGTGTCTGGATTTATGAAGTGATAGTGCAATAACATAGTGTAAGGGCCTACTTGCTGACAAACCAAAACAATTACATTGTGAATTTAGAGACTGTTTTGCCTACTCCAGAATTTTGTACGTGTAAGTGAATGAGAGCCAAATGTTTAAGGCTGGTGGAATATCTTTGCTTTTAATTGGGAGACCTGAATTTAGGTTACCTGTGAAAGAGCCTGTTTATTTCAGTTTGGAACGCGTATACAGAAAAGGTGGTAGCCACTCGGCTGGATCCTTTGGAGGGCAAGACAAGACAGAGGTGATTTGTTACTAGTTCTGTGTATTGTGCAAGCAATGACTCAAATCTTCAGGCTTCCTTAGCATGTCTTTCCACTGTTGTACGTGGTGTCAGCCAATGTGGAAAAACATTAAAAGGGAGAAAGTAATGTTAACCTGGCAACTTTACCATAGAAGAAAGTAGTTTTGTTGCATATAAATCTGTGAAAAGATAGATTAGCAGAATTTAGTTGGCAGACTTCCTGGAATTTGAAGTTGGCCTTGTTCACTATGGAAAAGTAATAACTGAGGTAACATGCGATTCCAAGAATGAGAACCTAGAAATCTCTTTTTCCACATCCACTGAAATGCCATATCCTTAGCTTTGAGTGTATTTTCATCTCTTTTGGGGCCAATGAATCTTATTATTCTAGACAAAATGGAATAGATCCAATGAGGGAATTTGAATGTCTGTTCCTCAGGAGTATTTGCTAGCTTAGTAGATACGTTTTGGGTATCCCCATCTCCCATATAAAACACTGATCTCCCAAAGGCACGGAAGGACAGTAAATTGAGGTCTCCTGCGTCCTTGTGTGTATTCTAAGAACTTTAGAGGACAGTCGTACTACTTTTCATCAGCTAGGTCTTAAAAGAAGACATCTACTCCAGAACAGCTGTGTTAGTGATTTGTTGTGGCTGAGAATCCTAAATGGAGAAGAGTCTATGGAGAATTGCTTTGTGGATTTTGAGAATCGTGAGCTAAAATCTTCAACTGTTTTTTACAGGAGCTGGGAAGTTCAGGAAAATGAGGAGAATTGATTCCTTATGTGAATAAGATAGAATACAGCTGTAATGTAGGGAATGTTCCATTTTTTTTAAATACAGGTAAACATTTTTGCTTTTATTGTAAGCTTGATTAAAAATTAGAGGCAAAATATAATTTTTCAATGTAGATGAACATGGCATTTTTTATAATTAATATATCAAAGTATGTATCTCTGTTTAGGAAACCTATTGTATATATTTGTTTATTTAAATATTTTTAATATTTTTACATATATTTTGTAATATTTTAATGTGTTTCAGCAAAATATGGGTATTGATATTTTTCTCTGCATCAGGGGAAGAGATCATTACAGTTAACCAAACTCACCACTTGATGTCAGTATCTGACATGCAAAAGAGGACTCAAAGCTTTCCTTTTGAGACAGTTCTGTAGAGCTTTTCACCATAACTTCATCAGTACTTTCTGCAGCATTTTGGAATGGCCAGGAAAGCTTGGACTGCAGCCTCTGAAAGCATAAATTGTTATCTGAGCTCCAAGATACATCTCCAGTCACTTTTAAATGTTTATTGACACCCTTGCTTTTTACATTAAAAAGTACTTCTTGTAGCAGTGATGACGTGCATATATTCTTTCAGAGTCAGGGCTGGGGAGTGGGGTGGGGGGAAGTATTTTGTTTTAAAGCTTAAAGAGGCAAGGAAGGAAATACACCATTTGGTTATACCTACATTTCATATGGAGGAGCCTGCCTTCAACCAATTAAAAAGAAGTATAAAAAAAAAAAAAAAAACAATTACATTATTGTGTGAACAATATGCAGGAAAGCTTACTGAAGCAGTCTGGTTCATGAGCTGACAGAGCTTATGCGTGTCTTCTATTTCATTGTGATTTACCCTTGCATAATGCAGTTACCCAGACTGTCCTTAGTATGTTATGTAGCTACCAGCCAGTTATAGTCATGACTGAGGTTATCAGAAGTTGCTTCAGACTTTCTCCACCATCTGGTAAATGGTACTTAGCAGTGTTAAGAGACTTTATGACTTCATTTGAGAAGTTGTACATGCAGAGTTCTCCACCTGATGTTCCCCTTTGTGTACCTGGTTTTGAGTCTGTTTTTATTTATTCTTGAAATTCATCTGAGTTATGTTTCCACACACCATCTTTTTAAGACTATAGACTTTCAGTTCGAATGGACTTCAGACCCCTTCCTGTGATTTACATGCATGTACATCCACATAACAACTCTGAAAAGATTAGGTAATTATAATCCAGCATGCTTGTGAAATTCCAGCCTTATAACTCAAAACTGATGTGCTTTATGGACCTCTGTTTTATCACAGATCTTCTGACCAGTTCCTACAAATTGTGGCCATACTTATACCACTGTTTTGCTGCAAAACTATGTGTTGTACTGAATATCAAATATTTTGGAGAACACAAAAAGAAGGCCCCTACATTTACTATATTTGTGTTTATTATGTCATATAAATGTGAACTGTAGGAACCTGTCTCATATAGTTTCACAGGCATGATGAAGCCAGGAAAAGAGCTGTAACGGGTAATATGTTACACTGCTACAAGCACTGACTTTAAGTGGTCCCACTGAAATCATGATCCTGTTTGCTTTGTCACTGTCCAGAGTTAGAACCAGTTGAAACCAATGTCAGGATCAAATGTGTTGCCTCTTTCATCTGAAAATGTTATAATAATTAGCAAGGCATTCAGCAGAACTGATTGAAGCAAGTCACATTTCTTAAAATGGACAAGTTCCAAGTGTTATTTATAACATGCTTGTTAATCCAGCCCTAAATCAAGGAAATACAATCTTGTATACCTT